GTGCCTCGGGAACACCGGGAATGCCGGGATGGGCTCCCCGTGTCCCGGGGGGGGGGGGGAGCACCCACCTTGAAGTCGGTGTTGTTGACGTGCTCGAAGACCAGGGCGGGCGTCCGGGACTGCGGGGATGGGGCCAGGCATGGGGGGAAGGAAAGAGAGAGGGTGAGATCCAACCCGCCCCAAAGGAAGGGGAGGAAGCTCCGGCACCCAGAGAATCCATAGGGAAACCCTGGGGGAGAGGAGGTGGGAGATGGGAGAAAGGAGGAGGGGAAAGGAGGAGGGGAAAGGGAGAAGGGAGGAGGGAGAAGGGAAAAGGGAAAAGGGAGGAGGGAAAAGGGAGAAGGGAGAAGGGAAAAGGGAGGAGGGAAAAGGGAGAAGGGAGAAGGGAGAAGGGAAAAGGGAGAAGGGAGGAGGGAGAAGGGAGAAGGGAGAAGGGAGAAGGGAAAAGGGAGAAGGGAGGAGGGAAAAGGGAGAAGGGAAAAGGGAGGAGGGAAAAGGGAGAAGGGAGAAGGGAGAAGGGAAAAGGGAGAAGGGAGGAGGGAAAAGGGAGGAGAGAGAAGGGAAAAGGGAAAAGGGAAAAGGGAGAAGGGAGAAGGGAGAAGGGAAAAGGGAGAAGGGAGAAGGGAAAAGGGAAAAGGGAAAAGGGAGAAGGGAGAAGGGAGAAGGGAAAAGGGAAAAGGGAGAAGGGAAAAGGGAAAAGGGAAAAGGGAGAAGGGAAAAGGGAGAAGGGAAAAGGGAAAAGGGAGAAGGGAGAAGGGAAAAGGGAAAAGGGAGAAGGGAAAAGGGAAAAGGGAAAAGGGAGAAGGGAAAAGGGAGAAGGGAAAAGGGAAAAGGGAGAAGGGAGAAGGGAGAAGGGAGAAGGGAGAAGGGAAAAGGGAGAAGGGAAAAGGGAGGAGGGAGAAGGGAAAAGGGAGAAGGGGATGAGAGAAGGAAGAAGGGAAAAGGGAGAAGGGAAAAGGGAGAAGGGAAAAGGGAGAAGGGAAAAGGGAGAAGGGAGAAGGGAGCAGGGAAAAGGGGATGAGAGAAGGAAGAAGGGAGAAGGGAGAAGGGGATGAGAGAAGGAAGAAGGAAGAAGGGAAAAGGGGATGAGAGAAGGAAGAAGGGAGAAGGGAGAAGGGGATGAGAGAAGGAAGAAGGGAGAAGGGCAAGGAGCCATCCGGGCCTCCGGAGCCACTGGGACGGGGCTGGGCTGGGTTGGGGGGGGAAGGAACGCTCTGGCCAGGAATGCTCTGGGCTTGGCTTTCATGGAAGCAGGGAACGGTTTGGGATGAATGGACCTGAACCCTCCTCCCCGTGGAGCAGGAGCCCTTCCCCTGCAGCAGGGTGCTCCAAGCCCCCGTGTCCAACCGGGCATGGGGCACCCCTGTCCGAGCCGTTCCCAAACCCCAACCCTCCGGATGGGGAAGAACTTCCCAAGATCCCACCCAACCCCTCCCTCATCCCCTTGGAGCCGGTCCTGCTCCTCCCCATCCCAACGCAGCCATCCATGGTCCTGGGCTCCCATTCCCAACCTCTGGAGCAATCCCAGTGCTCCCAGAGCGGGGGGGTTCAGCTCCCTGATGGATGCCAAGCGGGGCAGGGAGCAGCCTGAGCCTGTTCCCAAGGATCCCAAGGGATTCCGGAGCCGTACCACGGGGTCCTTGACGATGTCCAAGAGGTTGATGATGTTGGGGCCGCCGCGGAGGTTCTCCAGGATCTTGATCTCCCGTTTGATCTTCTTCTTCTTGACGGGCTGAGGAGACACAAGGGGAGAGCTGGGAGAGAGGGAATGCTCTGCTCCGCATCCCTAGGGAATAACGCAGGGATGAGGAGGCTGGGAGATGGGGGGGGCAGCCGGGAGGAGATCCAGGAGAGAGGATGCAGGGAGCCTGGAGAGGGGCTTGGGATGTGGGGATGGGAGCAGGAACGGCTCCAAAGGGATCTTGGGATGAGGGATGCAGGGACGGGAGCAGGAACGGCTCCAAAGGGATCCTGGGATGAGGGATGCAGGGATGGGAGCAGCAGGAACGGCTCCAAAGGGATCTTGGGATGAGGGATGCAGGGATGGGAGCAGCAGGAACGGCTCCAAAGGGATCTTGGGATGAGGGATGCAGGGATGGGAGCAGGAACGGCTCCAAAGGGATCTTGGGATGAGGGATGCGGGGATGGGAGCAGGAACGGCTCCAAAGGGATCTTGGGATGAGGGATGTGGGGATGGGAGCAGGAACGGCTCCAAAGGGATCTTGGGATGAGGGATGTGGGGATGGGAGCAGGAACGGCTCCAAAGGGATCTTGGGATGAGGGATGCAGGGATGGGAGCAGGAACGGCTCCAAAGGGATCTTGGGATGAGCGATGCAGGGATGGGAGCAGGAACGGCTCCAAAGGGATCTTGGGATGAGCGATGAGGGGATGGGAGCAGCAGGAACGGCTCCAAAGGGATCTTGGGATGAGGGATGTGGGGATGGGAGCAGGAACGGCTCCAAAGGGATCTTGGGATGAGGGATGTGGGGATGGGAGCAGGAACGGCTCCAAAGGGATCTTGGGATGAGGGATGCAGGGATGGGAGCAGGAACGGCTCCAAAGGGATCTTGGGATGAGCGATGAGGGGATGGGAGCAGCAGGAACGGCTCCAAAGGGATCTTGGGATGAGGGATGCGGGGATGGGAGCAGGAACGGCTCCAAAGGGATCTTGGGATGAGGGATGCAGGGATGGGAGCAGCAGGAATGGCTCCAAAGGGATCTTGGGATGAGGGATGTGGGGATGGGAGCAGCAGGAATGGCTCCAAAGGGATCTTGGGATGAGGGATGCAGGGATGGGAGCAAGGGGAACGGCTCCAAAGGGATCTTGGGATGAGGGATGCGGGGATGGGAGCAGGAACGGCTCCAAAGGGATCTTGGGATGAGGGATGCAGGGATGGGAGCAGGAACGGCTCCAAAGGGATCTTGGGATGAGGGATGCGGGGATGGGAGCAGGAACGGCTCCAAAGGGATCTTGGGATGAGGGATGTGGGGATGGGAGCAGGAACGGCTCCAAAGGGATCTTGGGATGAGGGATGCAGGGATGGGAGCAGGAACGGCTCCAAAGGGATCTTGGGATGAGGGATGAGGGGATGGGAGCAGCAGGAACGGCTCCAAAGGGATCTTGGGATGAGGGATGCAGGGATGGGAGCAGGAACGGCTCCAAAGGGATCTTGGGATGAGGGATGCGGGGATGGGAGCAGGAACGGCTCCAAAGGGATCTTGGGATGAGGGATGCAGGGATGGGAGCAGCAGGAACGGCTCCAAAGGGATCTTGGGATGAGGGATGCAGGGATGGGAGCAGGAACGGCTCCAAAGGGATCTTGGGATGAGGGATGCAGGGATGGGAGCAGGAACAGCTCCAAAGGGATCTTGGGATGAGGGATGCAGGGATGGGAGCAGGAACGGCTCCAAAGGGATCTTGGGATGAGGGATGCAGGGATGGGAGCAGGAACGGCTCCAAAGGGATCTTGGGATGAGGGGTGTGGGGATGGGAGCAGGAACGGCTCCAAAGGGATCTTGGGATGAGGGATGCGGGGATGGGAGCAGGAACGGCTCCAAAGGGATCTTGGGATGAGGGATGTGGGGATGGGAGCAAGGGGAACGGCTCCAAAGGGATCTTGGGATGAGGGATGTGGGGATGGGAGCAAGGGGAACGGCTCCAAAGGGATCTTGGGATGAGGGATGCAGGGATGGGAGCAAGGGGAACGGCTCCAAAGGGATCTTGGGATGAGGGATGCAGGGATGGGAGCAGGAACGGCTCCAAAGGGATCTTGGGATGAGGGATGTGGGGATGTGAGCAGGAACGGCTCAAAAGGGATCTTGGGATGAGGGATGCAGGGATGGGAGCAGGCACAGCTCCAATGGGATCCTGGGATGAATCTCCTGGGCACTGCAGGGGCTGCCCAGGGATGCCCCATCCCAAGGCTGGGGTGGAGCCATTCCAGGACAATCCCATCCAGTTTTGGGGTTCCCATTCCCAGTTTGGGGGTTTCTGGGTCCCACTTTTGTGGTTCCTGGTCCAAGTTCTGGGGCTCCCATTCCCAGTTTTCGGGTCCCCAATCCCAGTTTTAGGATTCCCATTCCCAGGTTTGGGTTTCCCATTCCCAGTTTTGTGGTTCCCATTCCCAGTTCCGGTTTCCCATTCCCAGTTCCAGGTTTCCCATTCCCAGTTCTGGATTTCCCATTCCCAGTTTTGTGGTTCTCATTCCCATTCCCAGTTTCCCATTCACAGTTCCCACTCCCATTCCTGGTTTCCTGTTCCCATTCCCAGTTCCCATTCCCATTCCTGGTTTCCCATTCCCTGTTCCCCATTCCCATTCCCAGGTTCCCACTCCCATTCCCAGTTCCCATTCCCATTCCCGGTTTCCCATTCCCAATCCCGGTTTCCCATTCCCGGTTTCCCACTCCCGGTTCCCATTCCCGGTTTCCCCTTCCCAGTTCCCACTCCCATTCCTGGTTTCCCATTCCCAGTTCCCACTCCCATTCCCGGTTTCCCATTCCTGGTTTCCCACTCCCATTCCCGGTTTCCCATTCCCGGTTTCCCATTCCCGGTTTCCCATTCCTGGTTTCCCATTCCCAGCTCCCATTCCCATTCCCGGTTTCCCATTCCCAATCCCGGTTTCCCATTCCCGGTTTCCCACTCCCGGTTCCCATTCCCGGTTTCCCCTTCCCAGTTCCCATTCCCATTCCCGGTTCCCATTCCCAGTTTCCCACTCCCGGTTTCCCACTCCCGGTTCCCACTCCCGGTTCCCATTCCCGGTTTCCCATTCCCATTCCCGGTTCCCATTCCCGGTTTCCCACTCCCGGTTCCCACTCCCGGTTCCCATTGCCAGTTCCCATTCCCGGTTTGGGGAACGCCGCTCCCACCTTGAGGATCTTCACCACCACCTTCTCGTTGCTCGTGATGTTGATGGCCTCAAAGACCTCGCTGTACTTGCCCCGGCCCAGCTTCCGCACCAGCTGGAAGTCATCCTGGTTCCTGCGGGGAAAGGGCCGGCAGCTCCCGAGAGCCCAAAGCACCCGATCCCACAGATCCCGATCCCACAGATCCCGATTCCAGAGATCCTGATCCCAAAGATCCGCATCCCAGAGATCCCGATCCCAGAGATCCTGATCCCAAAGATCCTGATCCCACAGATCCTGATCCCAGAGATCCCGATCCCAGAGATCCCGATCCCAGAGATCCTGATCCCAGAGATCCTGATCCCAGAGATCCCGATCCCAGAGATCCCGATCCCAAAGATCCCGATCCCACAGATCCCGATCCCAAAGATCCCAATCCCAAAGATCCTGATCCCAGAGATCCCGATCCCAAAGCTCCAGATCCCAGAGGTCCTGATCCCAGAGATCCCGATCCCAGAGATCCCGATCCCAAAGATCCTGATCCCAGAGATCCCGATCCCAGAGATCCTGACCCCAGAGATCCCGATCCCAAAGCTCCAGATCCCAGAGGTCCTGATCCCAAAGATCCTGATCCCAAAGATCCTGATCCCAGAGATCCCAATCCCAGAGATCCTGATCCCAAAGATCCCAATCCCACAGATCCTGATCCCAAAGATCCTGATCCCACAGATCCCGATCCCAGAGATCCCGATCCCACAGATCCCGATTCCAGAGATCCTGATCCCAAAGATCCGCATCCCAGAGATCCCGATCCCAGAGATCCTGATCCCAAAGATCCCGATCCCAAAGATCCTGATCCCACAGATCCTGATCCCAGAGATCCCGATCCCAGAGATCCCAATCCCAGAGATCCCGATCCCAGAGATCCTGATCCCAGAGATCCCGATCCCAGAGATCCCGATCCCAAAGATCCTGATCCCAAAGATCCCGATCCCAGAGATCCCGATCCCAAAGATCCTGATCCCACAGATCCTGATCCCAGAGATCCCGATCCCAGAGATCCCGATCCCAGAGATCCTGATCCCACAGATCCCAGAGATCGCAATCCCAGAGATCGCGATCCCAAAGATCCCGATCCCAAAGATCCCGATCCCAGAGATCCTGACATCCCCAAGATCCCAATCCCAGAGATCCTGATCCCACAGATCCCAGAGATCCTGATCCCAGAGATCCCGAAACCAGAGATCCCGATCCCAGAGATCCTGATCCCAGAGATCCCAGAGATCCTGATCCCAGAGATCCGATCCCAGGGATCCCGATCCCCAAGATCCTGATCCCCAAGATCCCGATCCCAAAGATCCCAAATCCAAAGCTCCTGATCCCAGAGATCCAATCCCACAGACCCCGATCCCACAGATCCCAATCCCAAAGATCCCAATCCCAAAGATCCCGAATCCAAAGATCCCGATCCCAAAGCTCCCGATCCTGAAGATCCCGATCCCAAAGATCCCAAATCCAAAGATCCCGACCCCAGAAATCCCGATCCCAAAGCTTCTGATCCCAAAGATCCCGATCCCAAAGATCCCAATCCTGAAGATCCTGATCCCAAAGATCCCAGTCCCAAAGATCCTGATGCCAAAGCTCCTGATTCCAAAGATCCCAATCCCAAAGATCCCGATCCCAGAGATCCCGATCAAAAAAAATCCTGATCCCAAAGATCCCAATCCCAAAGCTCCTGAGATCCCAAAGCTCCTGATCCCAGAGATCCCAATCCCAGAGATCCTGATCCTCGGATCTTAGGAATGAGATGGGATCTTGGGAATGGGATCTTGGGAATGGGATGGGATCTTGGGAATGAGATGGGAACTTGGGAATAGGATCTTGGGAACGGGATGGGATCTTGGGAATGAAATGGGATCCTGGGAATGAGATGGGATCTGGGGAATGGGATGGGAACTTGGGAATGGGATGGGATCTTGGGAATGGGATGGGAACTTGGGAATGAGACGGGATCTTGGGAATGGGATGGGATCTTGGGAATGAGATGGGATCTTGGGAACGGGATGGGATCTTGGGGATGGGATCTTGGGAAAGGGATGGGATCTTGTGAACAGGATGGGATCTTGGGAATGAGATAGGATCTTGGGGATGGGATCTTGGGAATGGGATGGGATCTTGGGAACAGGATCTTGGGAATGGGATGGGATCTTGGGAATGAGATAGGATCTTGGGGATGGGATCTTGGGAATGAGATGGGATCTTGGGAACAGGATGGGATCTTGGGAATGAGATAGGATCTTGGGGATGGGATCTTGGGAATGGGATGGGATCTTGGGGATGGGATCTTGGGAACAGGATGGGATCTTGGAAATGGGATCTTGGGAATGGGATGGGATCTTGGGAACGGATGGGATCTTGGGAACGGATGGGATCTTGGGGATGGGATCTTGGGAACGGGATGGGATCTTGGGAACAGGATGGGATCTTGGGGATGGGATCTTGGGGATGGGATGGGATCTTGGGAACGGATGGGATCTTGGGGATGGGATCTTGGGAACGGGATGGGATCTTGGGAACAGGATGGGATCTTGGGGATGGGATCTTGGGGATGGGATGGGATCTTGGGAACGGATGGGATCTTGGGGATGGGATCTTGGGGATGGGATCTTGGGAACGGGATGGGATCTTGGGGATGGGATCTTGGGAACTGGATGGGATCTTGGGGATGGGATCTTGGGAACGGGATGGGATCTTGGGAACTGGATGGGATCTTGGGGATGGGATCTTGGGAACTGGATGGGATCTTGGGGATGGGATCTTGGGAACAGGATGGGATCTTGGGAACGGATGGGATCTTGGGGATGGGATCTTGGGAACAGGATGGGATCTTGGGGATGGGATCTTGGGAACGGGATCTTGGGAACAGGATGGGATCTTGGGGATGGGATCTTGGGAAGTTCCTCCCATGCGCCTGCGGGCCACTGGAAGTGTCCATGGATGCCGGAGGGGGCTGGGAGCCCCCGGCTCCATCGGGAAGCATCCAAGGGCTGGAAGCGGAGCAGCTCCCGGCTCCATCCCAAGCCACCCCATTGCACGCTTCCCGGAGGGCGACGTTCCCGAGCGACCCAAGGTTGCAGCTCCTTGGGAATCATCCCCCCACTTCTCCCATTGGAGCATCCCGAGGGATGGGCTGGGATTCCGCACCCCCACTCCACGACGTGGGCTTCGTAGTCCCAGTACTCGCGGGGCCGCTGCGTGTTGACGTCGGCATAGACCCGGGCCCGGCTCGGAACGGGCCCTGCCATGATCCCGTGGGAATGGCGAGCTCATCCTGCAAGAGAGGGAGGAGCTGGGATCACATCTGGAACGGGGACAGGGAGCGGGGATCACATCTGGAACAGGGATACAGGAGGGGGATCAGGGCTGGAACAGGGATACAGGAGGGGGGATCACACCTGGAACAGGGATACAGGAGGGGGATCACACCTGGAACAGGGATACAGGAGGGGGATCACACCTGGAACAGGGATACAGGAGGGGGATCACACCTGGAACAGGGATACAGGAGGGGGATCACACCTGGAACAGGGATACAGGAGGGGGATCACACCTGGAACAGGGATACAGGAGGGGGATCACACCTGGAACAGGGATACAGGAGGGGGATCACACCTGGAACAGGGATACAGGAGGGGGGATCACACCTGGAACAGGGATACAGGAGGGGGATCACACCTGGAACAGGGATACAGGAGGGGGATCACACCTGGAACAGGGATACAGGAGGGGGATCACACCTGGAACAGGGATACAGGAGGGGGATCACACCTGGAACAGGGATACAGGAGGGGGATCACATCTGGAACAGGGATACAGGAGGGGGATCACACCTGGAACAGGGATACAGGAGGGGGATCACACCTGGAACGGGGATACAGGAGGGGGATCACACCTGGAACAGGGATACAGGAGGGGGATCACACCTGGAACAGGGATACAGGAGGGGGATCAGGGCTGGAACAGGGATACAGGAGGGGGATCACAGCTGGAACAGGGATACAGGAGGGGGATCACACCTGGAACAGGGATACAGGAGGGGGATCACACCTGGAACAGGGATACAGGAGGGGGATCAGGGCTGGAACAGGGATACAGGAGGGGGATCACATCTGGAACAGGGATACAGGAGGGGGATCACATCTGGAACAGGGATACAGGAGGGGGATCACACCTGGAACAGGGATACAGGAGGGGGATCACACCTGGAACAGGGATACAGGAGGGGGATCACACCTGGAACAGGGATACAGGAGGGGGATCACACCTGGAACAGGGATACAGGAGGGGGATCACACCTGGAACAGGGATACAGGAGGGGGATCAGGGCTGGAACAGGGATACAGGAGGGGGATCACACCTGGAACAGGGATACAGGAGGGGGGATCACGGCTGGAACAGGGATACAGGAGGGGGGATCACATCTGGAACAGGGATACAGGAGGGGGATCACACCTGGAACAGGGATACAGGAGGGGGATCACACCTGGAACAGGGATACAGGAGGGGGGTCACACCTGGAACAGGGATACAGGAGGGGGATCACACCTGGAACAGGGATACAGGAGGGGGATCACACCTGGAACAGGGATACAGGAGGGGGATCACACCTGGAACAGGGATACAGGAGGGGGATCACATCTGGAACAGGGATACAGGAGGGGGATCACACCTGGAACAGGGATACAGGAGGGGGATCACACCTGGAACAGGGATACAGGAGGGGGATCAGGGCTGGAACAGGGATACAGGAGGGGGATCAGGGCTGGAACAGGGATACAGGAGGGGGATCACACCTGGAACAGGGATACAGGAGGGGGATCAGAGTTGGAACAGGGATACAGGAGGGGGATCACATCTGGAACAGGGATACAGGAGGGGGATCACACCTGGAACAGGGATACAGGAGGGGGATCACACCTGGAACAGGGATACAGGAGGGGGATCACACCTGGAACAGGGATACAGGAGGGGGATCACACCTGGAACAGGGATACAGGAGGGGGATCACACCTGGAACAGGGATACAGGAGGGGGATCACACCTGGAACAGGGATACAGGAGGGGGATCACACCTGGAACAGGGATACAGGAGGGGGGATCACACCTGGAACAGGGATACAGGAGGGGGATCAGGGCTGGAACAGGGATACAGGAGGGGGATCACACCTGGAACAGGGATACAGGAGGGGGATCACACCTGGAACAGGGATACAGGAGGGGGATCACACCTGGAACAGGGATACAGGAGGAGGATCACACCTGGAACAGGGATACAGGAGGGGGATCACATCTGGAACAGGGATACAGGAGGGGGATCACACCTGGAACAGGGATACAGGAGGGGGATCAGGGCTGGAACAGGGATACAGGAGGGGGATCACACCTGGAACAGGGATACAGGAGGGGGATCACACCTGGAACAGGGATACAGGAGGGGGATCACACCTGGAACAGGGATACAGGAGGGGGATCACACCTGGAACAGGGATACAGGAGGGGGATCACACCTGGAACAGGGATACAGGAGGGGGATCAGGGCTGGAACAGGGATACAGGAGGGGGGATCACACCTGGAACAGGGATACAGGAGGGGGATCAGGGCTGGAACAGGGATACAGGAGGGGGATCACATCTGGAACAGGGATGCAGGAGGGGGATCACACCTGGAACAGGGATACAGGAGGGGGATCAGAGCACACTGGGGTCATGGACACATGAGGAAGGACCTGGATGGATCCCAGTGGATCCCAGGGATCCCTTTGCTGGGCCCAGCTCTCTCTGCAGCAGTTAGGCTCCCAATGGGGCCGTTACTTCCATCCCCATCCCCATTCCCATCCCCACTGCCCAGTGACCCCTGGGATGAGCTGTGCGGATGCAATGGGTGAAGCTGGTGCCAGGATGGTGCTGAGGCCCTGGGGCTGGGCACACGCATGGGGAGCCCAGCTCCATCCCATTCCATCCCAGCTCCATCCCATCCCAGCTGCATCCTATCCTATCCCACCCCATTCCAGCTCCATTCCATCCCAGCTGCATCCCATCCCAGCTGCATCCCATTCCATCCCAGCTCCATCCCAGCTCCATCCCATCCCAGCTGCATCCCATTCCATCCCAGCTCCATCCCATCCCAGCTGCATCCCATCCTATCTCATTGCATTCCAGCTCCATCCCACCCCATTCCAGCTCCATCCCATCCCAGCTGCATCCTATCCTATCCCACCCCATTCCAGCTCCATTCCATCCCAGCTCCATCCCATCCCAGCTGCATCCCATTCCATCCCAGCTCCATCCCATCCCAGCTGCATCCCATTCCATCCCAGCTCCATCCCATCCCAGCTGCATCCCATCCTATCTCATTGCATTCCAGCTCCATCCCACCCCATTCCAGCTCCATCCCATCCCAGCTGCATCCTATCCTATCCCACCCCATTCCAGCTCCATCCCATCCCATCCCAGCCCCATCCCATCCCAGCTGCATCCCATTCCATCCCAGCTCCATCCCATCCTATCTCATCGCATTCCAGCTCCATCCCACCCCATTCCAGCTCCATCCCATCCCAGCTTCATCCCATCCTATTCCAGCTCCATCCCAACCCATTCCAGCTCCATCCCATCCCATTCCAGCTCCATCCCATTCCATCCCAGCTCCATCCTATCCTATCTCATCGCATTCTAGCTCCATCCCACCCCATTCCAGCTCCATCCCATCCCATTCCAGCTCCATCACATCCCAGCTTCATCCCATTCCATCCCAGCTCCATCCCATCCTATCTCATCCCATTCCAGCTCCATCCCACCCCATTCCAGCTCCATCCCATCCCATTCCAGCTCCATCCCACCCCATTCCAGCTCCATCCCATCCTATCTCATCCCATTCCAGCTCCATCCCACCCCATTCCAGCTCCATCCCATCCTATTCCAGCTGCATCCATTCCTATCTCATCACATTCCAGCTCCATCCCACCCCATTCCAGCTCCATCCCATCCTATCCTATTCCAGCCCCATTCCATCCTATCCCATCCCATCCTAGTGCCATTCCATCCTATCCCATCCCATCCCCTTCCAGCTCCATCCCATCCTATCCTATTCCAGCCCCATTCCATCCTATCCCATCCCATTCTAGTGCCATTCCATCCTATCCCATCCCATCCCATTCCAGCTCCATCCCATCCCATCCTATTCCAGCTCCATCCCATCCCATCCCCTTCCAGCTCCATCCCATCCTATCCTATTCCAGCCCCATCTCATCCTATCCTATCCCATTCTAGTGCCATTCCATCCTATCCCATCCCATCCCATTCCAGCTCCATCCCATCCTATTCCAGCTCCATCCCATCCCATCCCCTTCCAGCTCCATCCCATCCTATCCTATTCCAGCCCCATCTCATCCTATCCCATCCCATTCCATCCCACCCCATTCCAGCCCCATCCCATCCTATCCTATTCCAGCCCCATTCCATCCTATCCCATCCCATTCTAGTGCCATTCCATCCTATCCCATCCCATCCCCTTCCAGCTCCATCCCATCCTATCCTATTCCAGCCCCATCTCATCCTATCCCATCCCATTCTAGTGCCATTCCATCCTATCCCATCCCATCCCCTTCCAGCTCCATCCCATCCTATCCTATTCCAGCCCCATTCCATCCTATCCCATTCCAGCCCCATTCCATCCTATCCCATCCCATCCTAGTGCCATTCCATCCTATCCCATCCCATCCCCTTCCAGCTCCATCCCATCCTATCCTATTCCAGCCCCATTCCATCCTATCCCATCCCATTCTAGTGCCATTCCATCCTATCCCATCCCCTTCCAGCCCCATCCCATCCTATCCTATTCCAGCCCCATTCCATCCTATCCCATCCCATTGAAGTGCCATTCCATCCTATCCCATCCCATCCAGCCCAATCCCATCCTATCCTATTCCAGCCCCATTCCATCCTATCCTATTCCAGCCCCATTCCATCCTATCCTATCCCATTCTAGTGCCATTCCATCCTATCCCATCCCATCCCCTTCCAGCTCCATTCCATCCTATCCTATTCCAGCCCCATTCCATCCTATCCCATCCCATTCTAGTGCCATTCCATCCTATCCCATCCCCTTCCAGCTCCATTCCATCCTATCCTATTCCAGCCCCATTCCATCCTATCCCATCCCATTCTAGTGCCATTCCACCCTATCCCATCCCATTCCAGCCCCATTCCATCCTATCCTATCCCATTCTAGCGCCATTCCATCCTATCCCATCCCATTCTAGTGCCATTCCACCCTATCCCATCCCATTCCAGCCCCATTCCATC